AAATTCAAAGCCAGCCTCAGCAATTTAGCAACTCAACATATTCCCAATCAGTGTCCTAATAGGCCCAACAAATGTGTATACTATAGTGAGGGAAGTTAGCAGTTACATGTGTGTTATATTTGTCTGATAAGCTAATTCTATTGGTTATAATTCTAATATATAGTTGAGGAAGAAAAGAAGGCAAGTTTTGTTGAAAGCAATATCAAGATTCATTATAAATATAATTTAGGTAGTATGTTACAAGGATAGGCAAATAGGCTTCCAGGAATGGGTTGATATATAAGAAATATCATATTTTGGATCAATGAGATGGGGATACTATTTTCAATAAATGGTGCTGAGACAATTTGTAATCTATGTGTGGAAAAAAATTAAATATGATCTTTACCCCCAACTATGCATTTCTATTTGAGAAAAGATCCAAATATGAAAAGTAGCACAATAAAAATTTTGGCAGATATGTGAGAATATACTTGTCACTATTCTAGAGAAGAATATTTAAAACAGGGTATAAAAATTAGAGATAGTAAATTGAATTTTAGATCATAAGTTTCTGTCCCTCAAAAAAAAAAGAATATAACAGTAAAGCAGTTATAAGGTAAAACATTTTTAGCATAAATAATATATAAACTATCCATTTCAGAATATATAAATTCCTATCTACCAATCAATTAGAAAAAGACAAAGACTCAACAGAAAAATAGGTAAAACACCCAAACAGGGGCTTCACAAAAAAAGATATCCAAAACTCCAATATATGTAATCTAAAAGTATTTAACTTTATTATGAATCAGGAAATTAAAAAAAAAAAAGTTTGACTGTAAGGGTATTGGCAAGGGTAAGTAACAATATGGACTACCAGACATTGCCATTGGGAGTATATACTGTTACAATGCCTTTAGAAAATTTATCATCATATAATAAAGTTGAACATGCACACAGCCTAAGAGCTAGCAACCCATTCATAAATGTGTATACTAGAGAATTTTACCCATATATGCAACAGAATACGTGTAAAAAAATGTACATAGCAGCCTTGCTTGGAATTGTCCAAAACAAAATATTAAATACCAGCTATAGAATGGATAGACCGTGATATTGATAAAGTGGAATATTATGCAGCAATGAAAATAAAAATCTTCAATTACATGTAACAACAGATAAACCTTATAAACATAATGCTAAGCAAAAGACACAAAACAGGGCTGAAGTTGTAGCTCAGGAGTAGAGTGCTCATCTCAGAAGTGGAAAGCACTGGGTTGGATCCTCAGCACCACATAAAAAATAAAGGTATTGGGTCTATCTCTGACTAAAAAAATATTTTTTTAAAAGACACAAAACAGTACATACAGCATGATTCTGTTTATACTGACTTCTGAATAATTCCATTTACAACATAAACAATATCATCCACCAACAAATCAACAAAAGATGTAGTTTCTTAACAGAAATCTCACACTATGAGAAACAAGTGGAAACAAATGGCTTACCAGAGAATTTAGAATCTGAATAATTTGCTTTATCCTTGGAAAATAGCAATTCACATAGAGTTCAAGTCCTATATCTGAGTAATAACTGGAAGATCTTTTGTAATAGAATTTTCTATTTGTGCTACACTAGATAAGGAAGGTGAAGTCAAATTCCAGTGCCTTGGTTTTGCATGGCTGGGCAATTGGTTTTAGGCTAATTTTAAGCAGGCATGATACTCAGGTGATTGTTATACTACTGTCAAGTTTTCAGTTGACTAACCAAACAATTGAGCTTATTGAAACTGCTTTCTTGGAGTTGTGTTTCTGTAGCACATAAGAATGTAAAGTCTTGTCCTTGCTAACAAGTCAAACAGGGAAATGTATATGAAATAAGAAAGTGTCTTTGAGGTCCAGTCTCACCTTTGGTGCAGCTAGAGGCATGTGGTAGACTGTAATATTGCTTATAATATATTCCAGTTTCTGTCTCTGCAGTGCTCCTCCCTGTGGGATTTAGGGGTCAATTGCTACTTTAGCATAACTTCACTCTGCCAAATACAAGACAGAAATACCATGCTAAAATTTTACTAAAATAAAGCTGAAAGAATGGTTTTTCAATTTAAATATCTTCCCCCAAAGCCCAAACTATTATCTTTTGAGTCGTATTTTCTTGCTTTAGTTCTATAAACTTATTTTAAAAGTTACAGATTTGCATCATTATTATAGAGTTCCCATACACCCACAGCCAGTTTTTCCTATTATGAATATTTTATGTTAGTCCCTACAATATTTTTACATGCTCTTTCCTTCTAGCTGTTATGTCTTGTTAATTAACATATTTCTTAAATGAGAAGCATTTTTCTCTTGCTAATTTTATGTAGGTATTCTTCAAAAGTTTTGGAAAGGATACATTAGAGAATTAAAAGACCTACAGAGATGTTTTCTGTCTTCCCACAAAAATAACCTGGATTTATCTTTTTAAAAATCTTCAGTCAAAAGGAAATATGTTAGATTTTACAACCGTTCTCTTCTGTATCATTCTACAGCCCTCACTGAAAACAGCATTCTTTAAATTGTCAGTTTTAAGCACACAATAATCTTTTATTTTCTCCTGTTCAGTAACTATGAATTTTTTCTTTATAACTGAAGTTCAACTGTGTCTCTTTCCTTTTTTATCATTCCCACTGTGACTTCAATAATGTTTAGTTTTATTTTTAATTATACAAACACATGTTGGCGTGTTCGTATGCCATTCTACTGTCAAGTTTTCAGTTGACTGACCAAACAATTGAGCTTATTAAAACTGCTTACTTGGAGTCGTGTTTCTGTAGCACATAAGAATATAAAGTCTATTTTCTACTTTTGCTACTCAAGATAAGGAAGGTCAAGTCAAATTCCAGTACCTTGGTTTTGCTAGGGTGGTTGAAAACAGACATTTATTTCTCAGTTCTGGAGGCTGGGAAGATCAAGGCTAAAGTGCTTGGAGATTGGGTTCCTGCTAGGGACCTTCTTGGCTTTCAGAAGGCTCCCTTTTGCTGTGTACTTATGTGGTGAAGAAAGGAGAGCAAGCTCTGTTTTGTCTTTTATAAGGGTACTAATCCCATCATGGGACCCGATTTGGTGATTTAATTTAAATTTAGTAACCTCCAAAGGACCCATAGGAGGCAGGACTTCAACATTTGAATTTGAAGGGGATAGGGCTTTAACATATGGATTTGGAGGAGGGTAGCGTTTCAACATATGAATTCGGAGGGGAGCATAAGGTTTCAACATATGAATCTTTGGGGTGTGTGTGGCATAATTCAGTTTTTAACAGATGGTAAATATCAAACTCAATGCTGCAGAAAGTGTTGAATTAAGGGTGGCTGTGAGAGAAGAGGTTGGAAAGACTGGTCCTTTGGAGGACTTTGAGTGCCAGACTTAGAAGACACTGGGCTTTTGACCAAGGTACTGTCATGGTGAGAATTACGCTTTAGGAGAACAAATCCAAGGGGTGCTTTTGGGATTGATTTTTTTTTCGGAAGAGACTGCAGTAGGCAAACCATTTGGAGGAGTAACAATACCTGGTGGAAAAATAAAGACCAATATTCTGATGGCTGCCTACACACGCACAACTGCCAGGAAATTTTCCTGATGCTCCCGCTGAAGGAGGATTTCATCTCTAATCCCACATATTTTGTATGCTGCTCAAGGAAGATTTTGCCTTATATGGTATTTGTTTCTGTACTTTTCTCATAGCTCCTATTCGGCAGTTCCTCTAGTATATTGCACCATACAGCCACGAAGCAGCTGTCTGGGAAGGACCCACACGCATTCCTACCCACTAGAACACTGACATGATTATTGTTATTGTTGTTGTTATTACTTGGGTGCCAGGATTGAACCCAGGAGCACTTAACCACTGAGGTCACAACCCTAGCCCCGTCACTCTTTAATTTTTTTTTTTAATTGTAGATGAACACAATGAAAGGAAAGCAGGAACGGGGAGACAGGCGACAGAGACAGAGACCAGGTAGAGCTACACATGAGAGTAAGTCAGTTTACAAATTAAGGCACATCTCTCTATAGACGGAGAGAGACAAAGTAAGCTTGGAATTACGGACTTTTATGGGTCAGGCTCAGGGATTGGGGGGGAGGGAGTCTAATGCAGGCGGTTAAGGGTGGAGTAGGTATGAGGGAGTGATGAACCTTTCTCATTTAATGCCCTTGGACGGGAAAGCGACATTTTTCTTAAAATGGTGGCTGTCACTTAAGATGGCCGTCCTTATGCTAGGCAAGGACATTACCCACAAGACCTTTATTTTTTTATTTTTGTGTGGTGCTGAGAATCCAACCCAATGCCTCACATATGCTAGGCAAGCGCTCTACACTGAGCTACTACCGCAGCCAGCCCCATCCCCAGCCCTTTGTTATTTTGAGACAAGGATTTGCTAAGTTGCTGAGGCTGGCTTTTAACTTGGGAACCTCCTGCCTCAGCCTCCGAAGCCCCTGGGATCCCAGGCATGCTTCACCGAACCAGGCCGCAGACATTATTCTTCCACTTGCGCACACCACACACGAGACCTGGGAGCTTGGCCAAGTCAGCCTGGGGGCTCCACTGGGTCGTTCAACCACCGAAGGCCCCTCGTCCCACCGACTTGGCCAAACGAACTCTGCATGGCCTGGAGCTCCCAGGTGGAGCTCGCGTCGGGGGACCAGTAAATTATTATCGTCTGATTTCTGAATCCTCGAGGAGCTGCTGCGCTGCCTTCCCTTCCTGGGATTGGGTCGGCTGCCTACCAAAGCCGGACTCCTCCTGTTTCTGTACGGGAGGTTTAGGGATGTTCACTAGAGCCCTCCCCACCTCTGGGGTTCTGGGCATGCTTTTTAGTGGGAGGTAGGATAGAAATTCATCAGTCACAAAGTACAGAAGGAGGAGAACTACAAAAGGAAGAAATGGTTGTTTAAAAACTCGGGACCCCTACCCTTTTAAGAGAGTAGGCGGGGAGCCAACTCCACCGCGTCCCAGGGTGCCTTGCGCGGCACGTCGATCCCACTCCGGTCCCAGAGTTCCCTGCGCTACCGGTTCGCTTCCGGCGTGCTAGGAGCTCGCGGCGGCCGTTGGGCGTGCTTTGGTTTAGTGGCTCCATCCATTTTGGCCGTGGTTCGCGGTCGCCTCTAGGGCTTGAAGTGCCCGCCAAGTCGGAACTGGCCAAGAACAATGCTGCCCGGTCCACTTCGACTTTAAGGCTAGAGGAGGGTCTCCGACCTTTTTCAGGTTGCTGACAGCGTCCAGCCCGAGGCAGCCATGGCCACGGGCTTCTCCTTCGGGTCCGGGACGCTGGGTTCCACCACCGTTGCTGCGGGTGGGACCAGCACTGGCGGCGGTTTTTCTTTCGGGACTGGAGCATCTAGGTAATCACACTTCTTCGCTTTCGTGGTCCTATCTTTCCTCGCGACGCTCTTGGTGCCCCATCGTATCTCCCGCTGATTTCTTTCCGGTGGGCTTGGGGGAAAGCACCTGACCAGACACCAGCGACATGGACCTCCCGCTCGCTTCGGTGCCGGGGCCCTACCGGCGTCCTGGTAGGGAAAACGGGGGCGGAATATCCCTTTGCTGTGAGGTCTCGGATTTCACAGATGGTTCAGGTATTGTTACTGCCCAGCGGGGTCTGACTAGGTGAAGGGGCTTGGGGTTTCACTCCTAAAGTTTAATCTTGTGTTAATCTTAGGCATAGGTGAAAATTGAGCGAATGAATGAAATTACAGCTTCTTTAGGGCTTTAGAAAGGGACGAATAATAGAAGATGTTGAGGAGGACAATCATGGTTTCTCCTTGTTAATTAAGATTCCTTCGCAGCTTTACATACTAGCGGTGTTTTTTTTTATGATTTCGTGATTCTTTTTTTCTCGAGCTTTGCAGACCTTTGTGTCTCATGGGACCCAGTTTATTGGTAATAATTTTCTGTAGCATGTGCATATTAGTATCTCTCTGATAATAATGTAATTGTTCATTTTGTCGTTTACTAATTTACAAAACAACTTACTAGTTCAGGTGGAAACATAAAAAAAGGAAGTTCAGAAAGAATGGGAAGAGAATATAGAAAACTTTAATCTTTAGAACTCAGTATTAAGAAATGTGTACTCTGTTGACAAGCTGTGGATGTGAATGGCTTAAAGGACATGGTGGTAGATTGAAAAGGCAAAAACACCTTCAGCATTACCTGTATTTTAAAAAAGGAAGGAGAGGGCTGGGGTTGTAGCTTAGTGGTAAAGTGCTTCCCTAGTATGTGTCAGGCACTGGGATAGATTATCAGCAGTGCATATAAATAAATAAAGGTCCATCTGCAACTAAAATTTTTTTAAAAAATATATTTTCTAAGCTGTAGATGGATACAATATGTTCATTTATTTTTATGTGGTGCTGAGGATTGAACCCAGTGCCTCAGGCATGTGAGGCAGGTGCCTAACCACTGAGCCACAACCCCAGCCCTAAAAAAAAAAAAGGAAGGGGAGAGGAACCACATACTATACACGCAAGCCAGAAAAAATCTGGGAGCTTTTCTCCATACCTCTGCTACTCTATGCTTTTAATGTAAGTCCTGATAACTTTGCTTCTGCAGGTTTCATTTGTTTGCATTCCAGTGCACAAGCTATTATCCTTCATGGCACAGATACTTGTTAAACAAATTTTTGTGTTAGGATCTATTTTGGATGGTAAGACAAATAAGAGTTGTCTTTGGCGCTCAAATTCTAAATAAAAATTCCTGGTTCCTGTCAGGTTTTCAGCCAGCCCTCTTACTTGTGTTGATTGAGAACTGCTATCAGCTCCTGCATGGATTAGTTCAATGGAATCCCAATTGCTGTCCCCAAATCTCCTTTTACATCAGTGATTGGCTCCTCCTTTAGTTACTTCCCACTATCCCTAGAAGGAAGTAAACAAAAAAAAAAAAAAGAGGAAAGAAAAGATATTCCTTTGGGTTTCAAGGCCCCAAATAATCTGCAATCTCTCCAGATTTCATCTTGGGCCCATTTTATCATTTCAGTGATCCAGACCCACTGTAGAAAAATAACATTTAAGTTATCACCCAGTATATTTGCACAAATAAGAAATTGAACATTTCATTGGAACTGTTCATATTTACTTATATTTCATGGGATGCATTTTGCTGTTTTCTATGCTAGTCCATTTCATTTTTTAGAATGTTGTGACCTGCAAAATTAATTTTTTAATTAATCTTTTCTAGTGGTCCTGATCTTAGTTTGAAGAATTCTGTCCTAGCAATACAGGCTTTTCTCAGTTCCTCAGAGGGATGAAGCTAAACATTCCTACTTCCAAGTAGTTCCCTCTATTTAGAGTGCCACAACTTCCTCTCTACCAAACCAATCCCTGTTTATCTTTTGGTACTGAAATGATCTTTTCCTAAGAGGCCTTTTCTGACATGTCAGTCTAAGGGAGATATCCATTTTCATAGTATTTTGTATGAGATATCCATTATCATACTATCTTAATATATTAAGTGTGTATATAAATCGTAATTGTTAATATTTATTATTTTGCTTGTAGTATGACCCCCACAGTAGATTGTAAGCTCTATGATGCTAGAGACCTTTTCATTCTGTCTTCTCAGCAGATACTGTACTTGGACCTCAACCCATATTTAGTAAATGAATGAACAGTTAGTATCTACGTCTCCCACTGTCGGGAAATTTCTTTCTTTTTTTATTTATTTTTTTGTTGTAGATGGACAAAATATGTTTATTTTATTTGTTTATTTTTAATGTGGTGCTGAGGATCGAACTCAATGACTTACCAGTGTTAGGCAAATGCTCTACCACTGAGCCACAACCCTAGCCCACTGTCGCGAAATTTCTGAGGTCAGAGTCAGAGTAATATGCCACTCTATCCTCAGTTCCTAGAACATACCTGGCATAGAAAAAGGTCTTTAATAAATCCTTATTGGGCTGGGGATGTGGCTCAAGCGGTAGCGCGCTCGCCTGGCATGCGTGCGGCCGGGTTCGATCCTCAGCACCACATACAAACAAAGATGTTGTGTCCGCCGATAACTAAAAAAAATAAAATATTAAAAATTCTCTCTCTCTCTCCCTCTCTCCCTCTCTCACTCTCTCTTAAAAAAATAAATCCTTATTGAATTGGTAAATGAATTATTAGTAATAAATTAGAAAAATTTACTCAGATTTTAGAAAGATTAGGATAAAGTAATGAAAGACAGTCAGCGTGTCAGCCAAGATGTTGTTCGGGAGGCCTGACTTTTTTAGTATCACCTGGTGATTTGAAGTAAGTCATTTTTAGAGAGTTCCTACATAAGGAAAAGGGATATGATAGTATATTTATCTTGGAGATGTTAGTGGAAGCATGTCAGTTTAGCATCATATCTGGCACTTGCTAAATGCTTAGTAAATTAACTATTATGTTAGCTCCCAAATCTACTAGAGGCAGACTAAGAAGGTAAAATCACATGCCTGACTTGATGGAGGTTTTTTTTTTTAAAGAGAGAACTTTTTAATATTTATTTTATATTTTTTTTTTCCGGTGGACACAACATCTTTATTTTACTTTTATGTGGTGCTGAGGATCGAACCCAGTGCCCCGCCCACATATGCCAAGCAAGCGCGCTACCGCTTGAGCCACATCCCCAGCCCAATGGAGTTTTATTTTATCACAGCACATTCTATCAAGTCCTTGGCAGATAGCCCTGGATTGAGTCAATAATTTGTTGGATCTAGGGTAGATTTTGGTTGTTTTTTTGTTTTTTTTTTTTAAAGAAAATTTTTCTGCCACATGGAATTTTTTCTTTTAAGAAATTTTTCTTTTACTTCTTTTCTTTTAAGATTTTACTTTGATATGTTTCTATGGCAATATTTTTAATTTTAGTTATGTAACACTTGGTAGTACCTTCAGTTATCAAGAAATTTTACATATTTTGATTAATTTTTTGAAAACATTTTCACCATGCATCTATTACCACCACCACCCCACCCTCTGTGGTAATTAGGGATTGAACCCAAGGGCACTTTACTACTACATCCCCAATCCACCTTCTTTAAAATTCTATCTATTTATTTATTTATTTTTCAGGCAGGTCTAAGGTGGTGAGTGTCTAAGTTGCTGAGGCTAGTCTTGAACATGTGATCCTCCTGCCTTAGCTTCTTGAGTTATTGGGATTACAGGAGTATTCTGCAATGCCCAACTCCTTTTTATTTTTTATTTAAAACAAGAGTCTCACAAAGTTGCCCAGACTGTTTTTGACTTAAGATCCTCCTGCTTCTTTTTAAAAAAAGTTCTGTGAATTTTCTAGCCCATGTTATATACACATAGTAGATCCAAAATAACAATATCATTAGACTACCATCAGTGAAACCATGTGTTCATGCATTCTTTTTAGTTGTACTTCCTATGCTCTCTGAATGTATAGTCATTGAATACTGTAATATCTTCTTTTTAACTTACACCTAGCTTTTTTGTTTGCATTTTTTAGTTTTTATTGTAGTCAATACTATTTCTTAAAATACTTTTCTTTTTTAATATTTTTTTTAGTTACCAAAGGCTTTATTTATTTATATGTGGTGCTGAGAATCGAACCCAGGGCCTCACACATGCTAGGCAAGTGCTCTACCACTGAACCACAACCCCAGCCCTCTTAAAATACTTTTAAAATTCATTCAATAAGCGTTCAGAGATCTTTACAATTGTCACTGAATCATTGCAGCCTAATTTGTCCTCCTTCCTTCTCTTCAGACATCCAGGGGTGCATGTATGTATGGTAAACTAATACATAACAGGGTACTCTTTCTTTTTTCTTTTTTTTTTTTTAATTGTAGATGGACACAATACCTTTATTTATTTATTTATTTTTAATGTGGTGCTGTGGATCGAACCCAGTGCCTCACACATGCTAGGCAAGCACTCTACCACTGAGCCACAACCCCAGCCCCCACTCCTCCTTTTTTCTACTGAGCATTGATGTCCTATCTCAAGGCCTAGCTCTTTAACAGGTTCCTCTGTCTCCATGCCCTATATACTGATAAGTCTTTTATCTCAAACTACTGCAATAATTTTTTTTGCCATAATTTGGCACTTGATTATAATCTGCTTTATTGAAGGTATATATTTCTACTGCTTGAATCATAACACTACCCTTTCACTAGGTCCCCTAATGTGTGCAGAAAACCAAATTAATTTTTGGGTAATTATGGAATTGGTGATGCCTGCACCTAAGTAACTTGGAGAACTGTTTTGACTTGGATTACAGTTATTTGTGTTATTTTATCCCCCTGAGGAACAACATGTTCTTTGAGTAGGAATTATCTTAGTTATCTTTGTATCCTTTGCAATTTCAGGCACACTATCTTGCACATAATGTTGTTTAGTTCAATTTATAAGCATTCCTAATGATAACAGTAACAACATTTATTGAAGTGAATTTGCCATGCACAATTTCTTAACCAGAATAAATAAACGTACTTAGTGGCTACTATTATGCCTGTTTTGCAGATGAAGAAGAAATAAAAGTTCAATGAAGTTAAGTGTTGTCACACAAATACCAACACATGGGGAAGCTGGTATTGGAACCCAACCTCTACTGCCTCTCCTTACATTGAAACATCCTAAGGATATTAAGATTTTTTAGAAAGATAATGGGTTCTGTCATGGTGATTAGTCTTTATGGAGGAGCAGAGAGGGAAGTAGTAATAAAGATAAGTGGGATTTGCCATTATGCTATGCATGTTATAATCTATTAACTTTCCCACTTTGTTTTTGATTCTGGGGATTGAAACCAGGGCCTTTTTCATGTTAAGCAAATACTTTACCACCCCTGCTCCTCCTACATAATTCTTGAAGTATCAAATTGTGAAACTTTCTTGCTTATTTTCATAATATGCTCTCCTACCTATAGATAGCAAATTTGCACCTCTGAGGCTTGATAATAGCAGTTGAAAAGTTGTAAATTTTGTTATACCATTTGTTTTTATCCTTTCTTTAAGCATTCAAGAAACTCACTAAAGAGAGCTTTTGCTGCTGAGCACATAATCTTGATAAATGTCAATTTAGCTTTGCATTTAATTTTTGGCAGGACATGCTCACTCCAGCACGCCTCCAGCCCCTAGTGTCTCAGTTTTGGTGACAAGATTCATTCCCCCCACCCCCATGAATATGTACTATAGCAATAGAGAGATGGCTAAGGTACCTTAGAATAACTTGTGTATTTTTCTTTGTGCTTTCTAATTTTTTTGATTCAATTTGGAAATGTGAACTCTATTTGAGTAGTTCCAAAGGAAAATAATACACATTTATAAGATTTATTATGGCCATTTTCAAATAAAAACTATTAAAAGTAGAATGTGTTCCTTGCTTATGATTATCTTGAGGTCTGAAATCCTGATTGCTCTACTGTGCTTTTCTTAAAAGCTTGGTATTATATTTTTGTAAGACTAATTTTACATTTGGAGAACAGAAGGATATTTGAACTTGGTTAAAGTTGAATTTATTAGTTTTCTTTTGAACATTAGGTGTATATTAGATGTATAATAAAAAAGAAAATAACCCAGAAGAATTAATTTTTATTTTTCTTAAGTAAACATTGACTGTAACAGATTTTTTTTTTTTTTTAATTGTGTGTATGTTTTAATAAACAAGCAACCCTTCTGTGGGGCTCAATTTTGGAACTCTTGGAAGCACTGCAACTCCAGCAACTACGTCTACTTCTTCTGGTGGTTTTGGAACTGTACTCTTTGGATCTAAGCCTGCCACTGGGTTCACTCTAGGAGGAACAAACACAGGTAAGGAGGATTTTCATATTTTCAGGGAGTAAGCTTGGGATATTCCTTTTCCAATGGCATATTTATTTTTCAATTTTCATCTTCTGTCTCTGTTTAGAGGTTGTTATTGGTAGTGGAACTTAAAATAAGGCTGAATACCAAGATGAATATGGAATACAGGGATTTGGAAATAGGGTGATAGGCTGAGTTATTGGCTATGATTATAAGGAAGGCCTTCTCAAAAAATATAAGATTTCTTTAAATATAATGAACTAAGGTGATTTAAAATTTTATGTTAGATTATATAATACATTTTTTTCCTTAATAAAGAGTATTGTTTAAGCCAAGTTTACCAGTTTGGAACATTAATTAACTTAGCATGTATGGGACGGCCAGCGTTGAAGAATGTTTTACTGGAGCTGACCATTTAAAAAGTTTTTGCATCCTTACTTACTTTCTCTGTCCTCAAAGCCTTTTGGTTTTCGCCACCTTTGTGTTGACCTTCAGACTTGGAGTGCAGCACATTTTACAGCCATACCCAGAAAATGAAAGGACAACTGGGGTACCAACCAGTGAGTTTCCTAAGATAGTTTTGTGTGCCTGCATTTTGTCTGGAGTAGTTTTTTTTTTTCCCCTCTGTTTTATTTTGTTATAAGCAATAGTTTGCATTTTATAAACTTTATTTCCTTATTAATCAAATTATATAGCCTGTAATATGAAAACCAGTGCCATAGGAAAAATTCTTGTGTTAGTGGTTATGGTGGCAGATATCATGATCTATTAGTCTTAATAGACTAATGTATTTATTAGTCTATTATCTATTTGCCTCCATGGAGGCGACACCTGAGGGTTTTTTTCCCTTATGAATGCCATCTTCCTTGTTTAAATTTTATTTCTCTTTTTGTTCTCAGGAATAGCAACAACTATAACTACAGGACTAACTCTGGGTAAGAATTTTTGAGGAAAGATCTCAGATCTGTGGTTTCCTAAAAATTTAAATGAATTAAGTGATCTTTCTACTCTTTTATCTCACAGTACTGGGATATAGAAGAAAGTATGCAAAGAAAACCTTGAGTATAGATCCTAAGTACTCCTTTCAATATTTGAGTACTTAAAAAGTGATTTATACATGATTTTAAAAATTCAGGTAAATATTTTAAATACAGAATTGGTTTTTAACACAGAGTTTATTTTATATTACTTTTTCAGCATTTTGACTAAATATTAGGAAAAGAGCCAAGCTGCACACCAGAAGTCTTAATCTCTGGAGGCCTTAGACAGTCTTATAAAGTATGTAGTGACAAAGCTCTTAGCTGTCTATAAAATATTGTAGGGCTGGGGTGTAGCATAGTGGAAGATTGCTTCCCTAGCATGTATGGGGTCCTGGGTTTGATCCCCAGTACTGAAAAAGAAAATAATAATGATACTGGACTAAAAAGTTCTTTGATTCCCTTGTCACTCAGAAACATAATAGTTTCTGTAGTGGTATGCTTACGAGAATGTAAATAACTAGGTTTCATCCTGCTTTGACTCTTAACCATTATTCACAATGGGTGACAGTAAAGTGAAAGGAAAAAATGAAAGGATGTTGAAAAGCTCTTAAATTGGTTAAGGATTGACTATTCACTTGAATGCTGTTAGCTTGTCATCAATGGAAAACACATCTGTTTGTCACCAGAGCTTTGGACAGGATTGGCTGAGGGCAAGTAATTGATTCCTCTTACTATCTGAGGTTATAAAACCCATCCATACATAATTTTGGAGTACTGTGCTCTCGCAGGAACTTGTAATCAGGGCAATCCAGAAGCATAGTTTCTGACTTCTTTTTTCTCAGTGGTTTCAGGAGAAGCCCAAATGTGGGTCATTCATGGATTTCTTGTTTGAATAGTTATTGTTTTCTGTGTGATTATGAGTATGCATGATGCCTTGAAAGTCAATATTAGCTTGTATTTGCAATGGTGTTGGTGAGAATGGTATTGATGGTGAAGTCAGGAAATTTGGGGTGTACATGCAAGACATTGATCTAATATGAGATGACAGGGGTAAGCAGGTATATAATATGGTCTTGTGTAATTTGATAAATATCTCATAGACATAGGACGATACAATGAAAGGAAAAGCAAGAAGAAAATAGGGTTATTTTGGGACAGAAAATATTCCAGACAGAAGTAGAATGCAGTGTTTGCTCAATCATAAAACTTATTCCATTGGAATAAGAAAAACATTTTGTTCATGGGGCTTAGGATTCAAAAGTGGAAATGGTAGGAAGAATTGAGATTTGAGAGCAGGTTGGAACCAGATTAGAAGGTCACTTATGTGCCTGATTTTTAGACTATTGTAGAACAATCTAGAGTTAATTGGAACCATAAGTTGGTAGGGTCACCAGGATGTTGTTTTTAAGGTAACTGGGATAATGCCAAAAATAGAGTTCAGAAGAGATTGGCAGAGAAATTAAGTCTGTTGTTGTAGTTCTTGAGAGGTGGTTTAATTTAAGATTTTTGAGAATGCCTGTAATCCAGGGATATTTCTGAAATAGAATTAGCAGGATTTATAGCCAGTGGAATTCAGAGGAAGGAAGGACTGTGAAAAAAAATCGTGGCTTTTTTGGCTTTAATAATTGAATTGACCTTGGTGGGCCTGGAGCTTTAGCAAAATTAGATTTATTTGGGGTTTTTTTGGAAAGGTAGAGCCAGCTAATGGGCATTCAGGTAGATGCACATTTTAGTCTCATGTACCCATAGTGGGTGACATTAAGGGAACCCTAGGGAATATCAAGACATCAGCAGACGAAGGAAATCTACAAAAGAATATGGGAAAGGAATAGCACAGAAACTAGTAGTAAGATATCTGAGAGCTGACAGGACCCAGAAAGAAGAGTATTTTAAGGATTAGAGAATGTTTGCATAGTCTTGGAGGAGAGGGACTGTTTTTCTTTTGAGAGTAAAGGGGAAAAAGGATAAATACTGTTTTATATAAATCTAGGTATTGAATTTATTGATTACAATATTATATTGATTGGGGTGTTTTCACCTTTCTTAATCTAAAGGACCTTTTTTTTTTCTGAATTCACCATGATTTGGTTCTAACCTCTGTTTTAATTTTCATGCATACACATGTATTCTTATTCTGTTGACACAAAATAGGATCACAAACTTATAGGGATCCTGATTGAAACCAATATGATATGTATACACTTAAGGTAAAATTGGATTTTATCTATTAAAACAGGAACACCAGCCACTACATCTGCATCTACAACTGGCTTCAGTTTAGGATTCAATAAACCTGCAGCATCTGCCACACCATTTGCTCTTCCTATTACTTCTACCTCAGCAAGCGGTCTCACTCTTTCATCTGCTCTGACATCAACTCCAGCAGGTGAGTAGAGAACATAGATACCCACTTTTCCTTCTTTATTTATTTGGTACCTGGGATTGAACCCAGGGACACTTAATCACTGAGCCACATCCCAGTCCTTTTTTTTGTTTGTAAAGACAAGTCAGTGTTGGCCATTACTGCAGCAGGGAACGTCTTGGAATGTCTTCTTTATTTACAGAGTAGAGCAAAGGACAGGATTAGAAAGGTAAAATGTAAAGCTTTTAATATCTGCTTTGTTTTCAAGGAGCCATTTTATGACAAGGAAGGATAAAAATGTTACATAAACCTTACTTAGCTTAGAATTTGTTTAATTGTAAAAGTGGAATTGGAAGCCTGGGTTGGAAACACTTGTATGGAATCAGTTACCTGGTACTGTTCTAATATTACCTGAAGCCCTTATTTCTCTCAGTTTATGCTTTATAGCTACTATTCTTTTCTAAAGTGTATATAATTTTTATCTTTAGCGAGTAGATTTTGCAAAGAGCCAATTTTATCATGAAAATCAACTTAAAATTTTTTTACTTGTATTTTTCTATGGTGTACGTAAGTAATGTTGCCATTTGAAGGCTTAGTATCTCATTTTTCATTAGCATCCACTGGATTTACTCTAAATAATCTGGGAGGAACAACAGCCACAACTACAGCTGCATCAACAGGCCTTTCTTTAGGGGGAGCCTTAGCTGGTTTGGGAGGTTCACTTTTCCAGAGTACAAACACAGCAGCATCAGGTAATTGATGATATTTACTCTACAGAATAGTAAGTATTTGTATTTAAATTATTTAATCTTTATTTTTGCCTTTTAACCAGTTTGCTTTTCCTCTTTAATCTGTATGTTTTCCTTTAATGTAAAATTGGTTTTCATACATAATTGGACCTTTTAGTCATATTTAGAGATACATTTTTCTCTTTCTCAATATTGACAAATTAGATAAAGAAGCAAGCCTATTTAAGGAGTCAGAAAGCCAGGTGCATTTGCACATGCTTGTAATCCCAGTGGTTTTTGAGGCTGAGATAGGAGGATCGCAAGTTCAAAGCCAGCCTCAGCAACAGAGGGGCGCTAAGCAACTCAGGGAGACCCTATCTCTAAATACAACACAAAAGAAGGCTGGGGATTTGGCTCAGTGACCGAGTAACCCTGAGTTCAATGCCCATCCTTCTTTCCTCCACAAAAAAGGAGTCAGAAAACTTAAAATAAGTGGCATTTAAGTAGTTTGGGGTTAATTGGAGGTCTAGTTCAGTGGTAGAATTGCTTATCTAGCATGTACAAAGGCTTGGGTGGATTCCCAAGCTAGAAAAAAAAATTTGTTTTGAGTCATTTATAGCTTACTTCACTGTAAGGCAACTTGTAAAGTCTTAGTTCTAGGAATGACTTTCCATTATGGAATTTCAGGAAAGGGTATTAGAAAACCATGTGCCTCTTCTTTCTGTTATTTTTTTTTTTTTTTCATTTTACTTTTATATCAGTCTTTATGAGAGATGTTTAAATATTTATCCTGTAAAAATTGCATGTTACAGTCATCTCATGATTTGGATATTACAAGATATTGTGAGTATCTACAAAATTAGACAATAACAAAAAGATTAGTATTTGAGATATCAATACAAACTAGAACACTATAATTTTCTTTAGATTATTTTGACCATCCTTACCCTCCCATTCCACTGACCTGAAAATCCTCTTTATCAAATTGTTATCTGAAGAAAGGACAAAAAAGAAATAGTGTCTTTAATAGAAAAAGTCAAGTCATTTTCCTTTCTTTTCTCCTGTTCAACCAAGTGAAGTATTAGGCACATATTAGGGGCCCTGCAAAACTTCTGAAAGTAAAATAGTCATTATAAATCAAGTGTAACTGGAAATTCTGAGTTTGATAGATTAGCATTTCCTAATTTGTGCATTTTTAAACAGAAATTCTTTTTATTTTATTTTATTTTTCTTGTAGTTGAGGTCTCATTATGTTGCCCAGGTCTTGAACTTACAAACTCAAGTGATCTTCCTACCTTTGCCTCCCAAATAGCTGGGACTACAGGAGTGCTCTGCTACGCCTAGCTAAATAGAAATTCCTGATGTTACACTGCTATGTGAAATAATTATACAATTTCTTCAAATAATAGAAAAGCTTTTCTCACTCCCACAATGCCCTCATTGACTTTTCAAAATATTCATTTCTTTATACAGTCATTAGCTATAACCAATATTTAAAAGATCTATAGAGGGGCTGGGGCTGTAGCTCAGTGGTAGAGCGCCCGCCTCGCACGTGTGAGGCACTGGGTTTGATCCTCAGCACCACATAAAAATAAATAAAGATATTGTGTCCAACTACAACTAAAAAAAAAATAAATAAAAAAAAAAACTATAGAATCCTTAATATGAGGCAAATTTCATAATAAGCAAGAAAATAGAAATTAACCTGATATATAAAATACTAATTCAGTATTTTCTGCCACATGAATTGATATTTTAGTATTTTGCCAATGACTATGTTGAAATTATTTAATATCTGTGTAATAAGAGAGGGGTGGGGAGGTAGTACTCCATGATGGAGTGCTTCCTAGCATGCGTGAAACCTGGGGTTTGACTCCCAATAACCGCAAGTAGTAGTATGAGTAATAGTAGCAGAAGTAGTAGTAATAAGAGAGAGAGAGGGTTGTTTTATGTTTCTTACCCAGTTTTTAGATGTGCTTTGATTCTTCTCAAACTCTTAATATTTAATGCTTATACTTAATCTAAATGTGTTGTTGAATTTTTAAAAAATTATCATAGGTTAAGTATCCATTTTTTGAAATGTTTAGGCCAGAAGTGTTTCAGATTTTGGAATTTTTTGGATTTTAAAATATTTACATAGACTTCACCAGTCAAACATGAACACAATGCTCAAAAAGTTTTAGATTTTTAGAGCATTTCAGATTTTGAATTTTTGGATTAGGGATGCTTGTCTGGTATAGAGTAATTCTTTGTTTAGCTGTTTTCTGACACATAGCCAGAATTTAAATCAAAATTTTAGGTATATTTATTAAATATTTTCTCTTTTTAAAAAATAGATGGTATTATCTTAGGAATGCATGGATTTTAGAAATATATGTTTATCAACACAGGACTTTTTTTAATAGTTATTTTTTAGAAGTAGCTGGACACAACGCCTTTATTATTTATTTATTTTTTTTTTAATGTGGTGCTGAGGATCGAACCCAGGACCTCGCATGTGCTAGACGAGCGCTCTACTGCTGAGCCACGATCCCAGTCCCTCAACATAGGACCTTTGAAATTTTGCTACTTGGCTCAAATATAAATTAATGACTTAGAATTAACTGTCGTCATTTTGATTCCTTTTGCCAGGTTTTCTAGTAGCTATATCAGTTAGCTTAGGAGCTATACTATTGGTGGAATTTAACCAGATGGAGAGTGATAGGAAACAGTAAAAAAAGAGGGGGAAGCCTGTAGTGGACTAGAATCAAGAAAGTCTTCTCTTTTGTAGAACTAATTGAAGGCTAGTATAGCCAGGTAAATTAAAGCATTTCTTTTTAAATAGGTAAATTAAAGCATTTCTTTTTAAAATAACTTTTCTGAAAAGAACTTGGAAGTATGCAGTTATACTTAATATATATTATGCTCAAAGTTTATAAATTAACACTGGATTATTTTTAAAGTGTGTAGTTCCAAAATATGTTTGGAAGATAAGACTGACTTCTCTGAAAACAATACAACTTAAACTGTTTTTGTAGAAAAGGTTCAAAAGTAACAAACATTGAATGCCCACATATATTGAATTAACACATATTCTGATCTTTTTAATAATGAAACATCACATTATCCAAACTACATATACCATCTTTGCCCAAAGCATGCTCCAGACTTGTTCCTTGATATTTTCCTAAATCAATTATTTTTTTTTAAATACTTATTTATTTATGTATCTTTAGTTTTTTTAGGTGGATACATTAGTTTGTTTTTATGTGGTGCCGAGGTTTGAACCCAGTTCCTCATGCATGCTAGGCGCGCACTCTACCACTGAGCCACCACTGCAGCCCTCCTAAATCAATTATGAAAAAAATCTTAAAAGCATTTGAGTACTTTGGTTAGTAAGAGGAAATTCTGGTAAAGTCTTTCATTAAAATTGTATGTAATATTTGGTTTATTTGTAGGACTTGGACAAAATGCTTTAGGCCTGACTTTGGGAACTACAGCAGCTACTTCAGCTGCAGGCAATGAAGGCCTTGGTGGTATAGATTTTAGTAGCTCATCAGATAAAAAGAGTAAGTAATGTTACTGTAATTTTGTCTTCTAACACTACTGTTAAGCAACTTCCACATTATTCAAAATTCCTATGTCTGAAAAATCTCTACTTATGTATTCAGTAGTATAGTTTTTACTTTTAAGTTTGTTTTACATTAGCATTAGCATTGTGCAAATTTTGTGTATTGATTAAGGTTTAATTTTTGTAGATCACTTAAATGTATATGTGTATCTCTTATTTATCCAACTTAATATTTTTGTTAATATTTTTTTATATTGGCGTCATCATAGTATATATTTTGTAATATGTTGTTACTCATATCAAAAGCATTTGGCAGTGTAATTCAGCTAGGTGCTTTAGAGAGGAGTATGAGAAATATAAGGACTTAATTTCCCCTTTCTACCTCTATCCACACCATCCTGTACTCATAGTGTGCTTGAGCTTGAGTTGAGCAAAGAGAATACATAAAAATAAATGCATATGATCACATGTACCACATCTCAGTTCCCTTTAATCTGTTATATTGGTCAAAGGATTTTTTTGTTGTTGTTGTGTTAATCTACAGAATTTTTTCTTTTTCTAGTAGCTATATCAGTTAGCTTAGGAGCTCTACTATTGGTGGGATTTAACCAGATGGAGAGTGATAGGAAACAGTAATTGGTAAAGAAGGGGAGGCTGGTGTGGACTAGAATCAAGAAAGTCTTCTCTTTTGAAGAACTAATTGAAGGCTAGTATAGCCAGAGAGCAGAAAGGTCAGATACCAGCTGTCTTGAAGAACTTTCTGTGCAACATTGAATTTTGTCACTATACTGATGACCACTAGACTCTACTAAAGGATATTGATGAGATTTGTATTTTAAGAGTAAGCATTCTGGCAGCCAGGTAGAAAATAATTGTAGGAAGGAGAGAGAAGCAGCATGGAGAAGTGTTGGGAAGTTATATAGTAGTCTGGGTATATTACTGAGGCAAAGCAAGGTAGACCAGTAAGGTGTCCTTGGCAGTCTAGAAATAGGCCCAAGTTCTAGTTTTTTGTATGTACATAAATAAAATGAAATACCAATGAAATAGTATATTAGTAGAAAATAATTGATGAATTATTTGGCAAAACAAAATTAAAGCCCTATTTTTATTACCATTATTAAGGCATTTATAGAAGAAATGTGCCAGTTTCAGAAATGTTAAAATGAAAAAATTTTTATAATGAAATATTCCAAATATTTATGGAAAAATAAACTAGTCAGATGAAAGATGAAAAAAGTGAAATCTTGCATATAAAGATGAAAGGCAAATAATACATTAAAAATAAAATACTTGATTTTTAGATGCTTACTTTCTCACATTTTAATATCTCTGAAATTCAGATTGTTTATAGATTAAATTTTAGGAACAGATATAAATATTTGTGAGATAAATAATTAATATACTAAGTGTTGAAATAGCTCTTAGAAATTAATAAGAGAAATATCATAAGAGAAATGTGCAAAAAAATGAAGAATGTAGAAATTACACAGGTATGCAATTCACAAAAAATAAACCTGTCAGATGAAGATTTGAAAAATATATTATGTTTCACTAGTCTAAGAAATACAAGCTAAGATAAAAATAAATGGCACCATTTAGCTACATGATTAGCAAAGATTTAAAAAACTGATGTTCATTGTTTTTTGAGAGTGTGATCCAAAAAGTGCTCTCAATGTACTTGTTTTAAGGGATTGACAGATTGTTTTAAAGAATTGGAGAAATTCAGGATGCTAATCTGACTTAGTGTTCAATCCTGATAGGGCCTTAAAAAGTGTCAGATAGAGTTACCCAGAGTTAACTTGGTAGAGAATATAAACTATTCATACTGGATATTTTTTATGGAACAATTGAGAAAATTTTTAGTTGAGAAAAGAAAACTATGTCCTTGAAAGAAGTAGGTGCAGATCAGCTGTGGAACACGTTGGCTTTGTACACATCTCCTTGATAACACTGCGTTCATAACAAGTCATTTCATTGAGCAATGTTTAAGAGGCAAGCTAAGAAATGTTTCCATTTATATTTATACCTTAATTTGTGTTCATTTAAAACGTTTGGAATATGTTGTTACATTACCTATTTTTACATGAAACTTCTTGAATTTTTTAGGTGACAAAACAGGAACAAGACCAGAGTAAGTTTATAATTTAAAATATTTTAATCAAGAGTTTTATTTATTAAATTTGTAGGCAGATGGTATAGTTGGAAATACATAGAACCAGGTACACATTTAGAAGGAAGAGACACTTTTAACAAGCATTCGTCAAAAATAAGATAATAAATGTATGTTCTAGAAAGATTGTGATAGGTCACATCACATCTTCAATTTTTAGTTATTAAAAAACTTTAAAACATTTCTTTTTAGAAAGGTGATTGACATTTTCCCCAGATAATGTAAATAAGCATATAAGTTTGTCAGTTTTTGTTGTTTTTGTTTCTGGTGCTGGGTTTTGAACCAAAGGCCTTGGTGCATGCTAATTAAGCACAAGCTTAATAGTATGTAATTTGCAGCCCTTAAAACATCTTGAACCATGGATTATATGGTGCAGCCCTTAAAACATCTTGCTTACATATGTAAATTATTATGCCAGGACTATTTTTTATTTACTGGTATCTTCATTAAAGAAAATAGTTTTCATATACATCATATATATATATATATATATATATATATATATACACACACATACATACATACATTTGAAATATATATTTGAACTTGGTCATTATTTTTATTGCAAATTATGTTTTCTCACACAATTTGTATTAAATAAGCTATTTATAAATAAATGATCAAATTTGCTGTTCTACAAACTTCTTGTGTATATTTTAGCCTAATACAGATTGAGTATCCCTTATACAAAATGTTTAGGACAAGAAGTGTTTCAGATTTTGGACTTTTTCAGACGTGGGGATATTTATATGGAATATACACATTGAGTGTCCCTAATCTCAAAATACAAAATGCTCTAGAATCTGAAACTTTAAAAAATTGAAATGAAGGAACAGACTGAGATCTGTCTAAGGTTATAAAATCTAACTCATGATTTCATTATAGCATGCCAAATTTTAGTTGTTCTGCCTTCATTAATTATTTGTATTTCCCTTAAACTGTCCCTTGCTTTTATTTTCCCATTTCAATGCATGTTGAAGAACAAACTGAAGTTATAATAAAGTATTTAGAGCATCTCATGAGAAGTTATATAGACTTTGTGTTATTAATGCTTTAATTATTCAAACTGAATAAAATGTCAGTCATAGAATCTTTTAGCCAGAGGGAATTTAGTTCAGCATCTCATCCAGTCATTAGTATTTTCTTTTTTCCTTAGAATTTAGTTAAAAGCTTTTAAGTATATTTATAGTAGCTGCCAGTCTTCTTAATTAAGAAATGTCAATTTCAAATAAATTGCTGGAACTAGGTCAGGAAATTTTTTTTTTTATTTTGAAATCATTCAAGGAAGCTCTAAGTAGAGAACATTTGCAATATTTTCTTGAATCTTAACATATAGTATAGTAAAATTTAATGTCAACTTTCTAAAATCTGAATGGTATTAATACATTTGTGGCTTTTTTTCTTAGGGATAGTAAGGCACTGAAGGATGAAAATCTACCTCCTGTCATCTGCCAGGATGTTGAAAATCTCCAGTGAGTGTCAAATATATTTAAATAAATAATGCTCAAAGAATTCTAGATTACATTTTAGGGGGAACATCTTTTCTTTCTAAACATTTTAACTTGGGTTAAATTGTTAATGTTTTTAAAAGTAAGAGAAAGTTGAAAAGCAATTAAAATTAATGTAACTGCCATTCTATAAACTAGTGTGTAAATTATGGATGAATTTTTTACTTTTGTTTCTTTCTGACAAACTTATTTTTTAATTGATTAGTCTTTTAATTGGTGCATTATAATTTTACATATTGAATTAATTCATTGCAACATATTTGTACGTGCATATAATTTAATCAGTTTCATTCCCCGGTACCTCCCCTTTCCAGCTTTACCTTCTGTTTTCATGAGATTTGCCCTCCTCCCTCCTTTTTCCCCCCTTTTTTCTCTGTAGCTTCCATGTATAAGAGAAAACATAATAATCCTTGACTTTCTGAATCTGGCTTATTTTGCTTAACATAATGCTTTTACGTTCGTTCCATCCATCCATTTTCCTGGAGATGACAGAATTTCATTCTTTACAATCGAATAAAACTCCATTCCATGTGTATGCCACATTTTCTTTATCCATTCATCTCTTGATGGACACATAAGCTGGTTTCTTAACTTGGCTACTGTGAATTGCACTGTTAGCAACATAGGATGCATGTATTGCTGACTTTAATTATTTAGGATAAATACTGAGGCACGATATAGCTTGGTCATATGGTGAATCCATGTTTAGTCGGTGGAGGAATCTTTATACTGATTTCCAAAGTGGTTGTACTAATTTGCAGTTCTGCCAAGAGTGTATGAGTGTTCTTTTTCCACCAACATTCTTCGCAGTATTTATTATTTGTATTTTTGATGGTGATTGTTCTAACTGGAGTGAGATGAAATCTCAGAGTAGTTTTGATCTGCATTTCTCTGATTGCTAAAGAAGCTGAATACTTTTTATAAGTTTGTTGGTCATTTGTGTGTCTTCTTTGAGATATGTCTGTTTAGTTCAATTGTCCATTTATTGATTTTCTAAAATTTTTTGATTTCTTTATATTCTTGATATCAATACCATCAGAACAATGGCTGGAAAAGATTTTTCTCCCATTTTGTGGGTTTTCTCTTCATGCTCTTTTGTTTCCTTTGCTTGGCAGAAGCTTTTTAATTTGATGCCACTCTATTTGTTGATTCTTGGTATTATTTCCAGAGCTTTAGGGGTCCTTCTAAGGAAGTTTGTGTCTGTGCCTTTATGTTGGAGTGCCCCAGCATTTTTTTGTAGGGGTTGCAAAGTTTGTGGTCTAATTCCTAAATCTTTTTTTTTTTTTGTACCAGGCATTGAGCTAAGGGGCACTGGACCTCTGAGCCACATCCCAGTCCTATTTTGGATTTTATTTAGAGACAGGGTCTCATTGTTTAGTGCTTCACTTTTGCTGAGGCTGGCTTTGAACTCGCAATCCTCCTGCCTCGTCCCGAACCACTGGGATTACAGGTTGATCTATTTTGAATTGACTTTTTTGTAGTATGAGAGAGATTTAGGTTCATTCTTCTACATATGCATATATAATTTTCCCAGCACCATTTGTTAAAAACCCTATATTTTCTCCAGTGTAAGTTTTTGGTGCCTTTGTCAAGGATCAAATGACTGTATTTCTATGGGTTTGTCTTTTTTTTGGGTCTTCTATTCCATTGATCCTAAGTGTTTTGTTTTTTTGCCAGTACCACAGTTTTTAAATTCTCAGTTTTATTTATTTATTTATCTATCTATCATTTATTTTTTGTAAAGGAAATTTGTGAAGGAACAAAAACAGGTCCAAGAAGAAATTAGTAGAATGTCTTCAAAAGCAATGCTTAAAGTACAAGAAGATATTAAAGCTCTGAAGCAACTTCTATCATTGGCTGCCAGTGGATTACAGAGAAACACTCTTAATATTGATAAATTGAAAGTAGAAACTGCTCAGGTATACTGAATTACAGCCATTTTACCATAGAATGTTTTGCTTTGTTTTTTTTCCAAAATGGAAATAATGATTTATTTAAAGGTGATACATACATACTGTGAGAAAACCAGGTAGATCATATTTTTTCTTTAAAAAATGTTTTTTTGTGATGCTAGAAATTGAACCCAGGGTCTCATGTTTGCCAAACTAGTGCTCTACTACTGAGAAATATCCCCAGCCTATCATATATTTTTAAATTACTTTAATAAATAATAGTAGTTACTAGTTTTTATTAATGCTTGCTCTATATAACACTGTATCCTAAGCAATTTATTGATATTTGTTAATCTGCTTTCATTTTCATGGTAGTCCTTTGAAGTAAGGTACTGTTATTATGTAAATAAGACAAGAGGCAGAGAACTTTGTTAATAAGTTGAACAGCCTGAATTCAGTTTGCTGATCTAGTTTGAGTTTATGCCTTAACTAATTTGTTTACATAAGTGCCTGCTGACTAAATTGGTCTGTTCATAAGAGAAAGAATACCTAGTCAGAAAATGTTTTTAACATATCATTTATTAAATTAAAATTATATCACGCTTTATAGATTCATTTCACTGAACACTTGTTAGTCTTGGTTATATCTTAGTTAATAAAAATCATAATGAGGTTAGTATTTTCTGTCATTCTTGTCTAATTGCTTTTATCCCATGGCCTAATATATAATACATACTAAATAAAATATATAATTCTTTTCTATTGCAGTGAAGAAGAATGATGGTTGATGATTTACTTGGATTTTATATGTCATAATTATAAAACATACTTGATATCATTGTGGCAATCTGGACAACATTCCCTTTAAGTTGTTCCTATCTGTTGATAAACTGCATAGGATATGCCTTTACTGTGAGCTTATCAATGAGTGCTATGCTCATAGGTGATATTGTTTTTTGGTGGGGATACTGGGGATTGAGCTTAGGCACTTGACCACTAAGCCACTCTCCAGCCCTATTTTGTATTTTATTTAGAGACAGGGTCTCATTGATTTGCTTAGTGTCTCATTTTTGCTGAGGTTGGCTTTGAACTCTTGCCTCAGACTCCCAAGCCTCTGGGATTATAGGCATGTGCCATTGTGCCCGTCTAGTGATGTTGTTATATGTAAAATTTTAAAACATGTCTTCAAGTCAACTATTAGAGAATACCTTTGCTTTTTAAATACCATGTTACTCAAGTAACTAAAACTATTATGTTTAAAGAGAATTTTAAGACTTTTATCTTTTCTCAGATTTCCTGGTCATTTGGAAAATCTCAGATTAAATGTTACATAAATTACATGAAATCATAAATTTTGTATGCAAAATATATGAAATCATGTAAGTTATAAGTAGAAAAATAATGGAACAAACGCAGAGTGAGATGGACTCTGATGGGACCCATTGTAATTCTAAAACTGGATAATTCCATTCACAAATATATGTGGGACACCTGTTATATAAGACTTGTTGATCATCTCTAGTAATAAAAAGACAGTGGGGGATAAATGGAATGGTAAAAGATTTAAGAAGAGCAAAAAGGTTTGCAAAGAAAGAGGATAGGAGTCAAAGTTTCCTTAAGGGTAAATGAACTGAATTTAGAAAACGTAGGCTATATCAACGAAATTTGATTTATGATTACTATTATTTCCATTATAAAGGAACCTAGTACTCTATGCAGTGTCTAGAGATTTACCAGTTGAAAAACAGTGTTCTGAATCCCTCGTGACATAGTTATCAATCTTATTTAACCCCAAAACGTTTTCATCAAAGGCAGCCTTTTGGGTAATAGAAGCATTCTGTGGTTAGGCATGATGTGAACCAAAATCTTATGGAAGTGAATTCTTTTAATACCTCATTTTTTGGCAAATAACTTGAGTTTAAATAAATGGGGGGGGGGCATAGGGATATGAAAGACAGTGGAATGCAATGGTCATCAAATGGGTACCATTTAAGTCAAATTGCTGAGTTTAGCTGTCCAGTCACTTAGTGAATTTTTTTTTTTTTTTAAATCTATGTGTGCCAAGCAGTGAGGATCAAGAGAACTGGGAGAGAATTAAATCAGTCATGTTTAAATAATAGGTATAGTTACAGAGGGCTTAAGTGGAGACCTTTATGTTGAGTCTTAAAATGTATGTATTTTACACGCTGGTAGGTAGGAATGAGCAAGGCCAAAGAGGCATGGCATAGGCATGTTTGATTATTTGCAAGCAGTTTAGTATTACAGATGTCTGGGCCTGACAAGAGTCAGTACTTAGAGAGGTGGGTAGGCGTCAGTCTTGAATGGTCCAGAACTGTCCAGGGCTTCTAGGAATAGTAGAAGGTAATACAAGAATTGTGCAGTGAATAACATTTAAAATAATTGAGCTGCCAACATTCAGTTCTCAAGTGTCGTGGCAACATGGCATTGAACAAATTATGTCTCTAACTCCATTTGTGCATCTATAAAAAGAAAAGCATTTCCTACTTTTACTTTTTAAAAGTAACCAAGGTGGTATAAGTGAACCCTTCAGCATAGATTTTTGTACATAATAAGCGTTGGATGTTAATTGTTGCCCATGTCAGCTTCAAATAGTAGTAGCCCAATCTTTTCACTACAGATGAATTTACGAATTGTTCAGAAACCTTAAAATAGATCAGTTCATTATAATCTTTTGTTTTTAAATTGTCTATCAGACAAAATCAGGTGGGACTGGATTTACCAGTGACATTTTTTTTAAATAGTTGTAGATGGATAGCATGCCTGTATTTATTTATTTAGTTAGTTTTTTATATGGTGCCAAGGATTGGAACCCAGTGCCTCACACATGCTAGGCAAGTGCTCTTGCCACTGAGCTACAGCCCTAGCCCAGTTCACTATAATCTTATAAATCTTGTTAAGTTTAATTGTCTGCTCTCAAGAGGTTTTAGAATTTTCTTATAAAATAACTTCATCCGTGGTGTTATTAAAACATGAACTGGTATTATTTGAAATCTTAGCTCAGAAATAGTTCGTATTTTTAGCTTAACTCTAAAATGGCTTTTTTTGTTTTTTAAACCTTTGACATATTAGGAGTTAAAGAATGCTGAAATAGCTTTAAGAACCCAAAAAACACCACCTGGACTTCAGCATGAAAATACAGCTCCTGCTGAGTAAGTTATTGGTTTTTTTAAAAACAAATGTTTCCCATTTTAAGAAAGTGTATCAGTAGTAATAATATGATAAGCTAAGACCGTTTCATTTATTATGTGCATATACTGAGTTAATCAACACTTCACATGGACTTTTAAATTGATTTCTAATAACCTTTAAGAGGGTAGTTTAGTGTTTCCTTTTTACTTCAGGATGAGTAAAGGCTAAGATCTGAACTTTTAAACAGTTTTATGCAGTTATACTTTAATGTCATGGAATTTGTATTCTACTTTATTAAGTTTGCAGGTAAAAGAAATTTTAATTTTTTCTATTAGAACTTTTAAATTAAAATTAATTTTATGATAGTCCTATCCTTAAACAGGGCATAATAATTATACTTTAACTCTTTTACTTATTTGCATAAATTTTATTTATTTACATAGCTAATGACATTGAGGATGAAAAATTAGAAAACACAGATAAGTTAGAGAAAAAATTCCACTGCTAATTGAATCACTTCATGTTGTATATCCACCTAGTTCCATACATGTGGTATAGATTTTTGTCTCTATTTTTCTATCCTACTATGTTACTACAGATAATAGCTGATACATACCAGGTGTCTCCTATTTGCCAAGCAGTGTGCTCAGCACTGTCTGTGCTTTATCTTATTTTTCACAAAACCTATTATCACTTTTTTACTCCAGTGAGGAGCCAGAGGTGAGTTTTCAGTGGTAGTCTATTTGACTCCTGCTCTTCACTTTTTTTTTCTTCTAATTTTTATTATGGTATTATTTCAAACTTACAGAAAAATTTATAGAGTGGAGCAAAATTTCTTGTATACCTATAATCTAGGCCCCCCGCATCTCAACACTTTTGCCATATTGGATTTATTCCTCATTCTTTTGCTGTATATATGTTTTATTTCCTTGAACAGTTTGAGTTATTTGCAAACATAATACTCGTTTTGCAAAAATACTTTCGTGTATACTACTACTTTTTCTTTTAGTTGCTGATGGACTTTATTGTCTTATTTTTATGTGGTGCTGAGGATTGAACCCAGTGCCTCATACATGCTACCACTGAGCCACAACCCCAGCCCTCGTGTATACTTCTTAAAAATTAAGGATAGTCTTTTTTTTATTAGAGCATTATAGTTATACAAAATTGGATTTATTTTGAAAAAATCAGATATGCATGGAATTTGATATCAATCTCTGGATAATCTTCTGTACAATAGTATAATTATTAAAATCAGGAACCAATGACAATGTTACATCTGTTGTGTTACTCAGATTAGCATTGGGTATGCTTTCTTGCTGGACTTCTGATATTTTATCCCTCTATGCTGTTTTTCACACTGCTAATAGGGCTTATTTTGCAAAAAGTTTCATTATGGCCTTTTTTTTTTTTTAATAGAAAAACATTCAGATTCCTTATATTACTATAATAGCTTTTAAGTACTGATTGTAAAGTCTGGTTGACAGTTCAGGTTTGGGATTTTTTGTTGTTGTTTTAAGAAATCTTTTTATTTTAAACTTGTAGAAAACTTGTGAAAATAGTATTGTAAATAATTTTCTTATATCTCTTATCTTGCTTCCTCTAATGTTAACCTACTATATATGTACTATTATCAACAATAGGGAAACTGGCATTGATACAGTATTATTTATAAAACCACAGAACATGTTGAAATTGTACTGTTTTTTTTCCCCCATTAAATGTAACTTTTTTTTTCAGGATCTTATTGGGAGTTCACATTGCATTTATTTGCAATTTCTCCTTAATTATTTTCTGTAATAGTTATTCAGTCTTGTCTTGTATGACCTTGTTACTTCTAAAGATCATTAACTTATTCCATAGGTGATTATTTGGATTTGTCTCCCCTGATTAGTAATGATACCTCGATAATTTACAGTTTTTGGGCATTTATTTTAGTGATTGTATCTGTGACATTATTAAACTAATTGAAGAAGTCCTGTTAAAAAGAGAACATTTATTTGGTATTTTAAATATAAAGAAAATAATTTTTAAAAATTTGATCTGTTTTAACACTTTTTTAATAGCTACTTCAGAATCTTGGTTCAGCAATTTGAGGTACAGCTCCAACAATACAGACAGCAGATTGAAGAACTAGAAAACCATCTTGCTACCCAAGCAAATAATTCACATATAACCCCTCAAGGTAAAATGCTTACTTTGGTGATTTTTTTTGATAGTACTATTACTTTATTTGTAGGAGAAGGAGTAAACCTTGGTTGTATAGTAGATAAACTACTAATAGTTATTTTAAAGGGCTGTAAGAAAATTTCCTTAAGTCATTAAATAGATCTTTATTCCTGCAAATATGAAAGACTTTATTATGAATTGTTACTGTGCTGACAAGGGCAGAAATCCTAGAGTCTTCCCACTTCAACTCACATTACTGATGTCCTTTCTTCAGTCTACTCAATTTGCTCTCTTCTCTAGCCATGGGATCATTGATGAACTTTTTTTTTCTTTAACACAGTAATTGTACCAAAAATTGGTCTCAAATAGTAGAAAAATAAAATTGATTGTTTTATTGTATGGTAACATAATTTTCTTTTATAGATTTGTCAATGGCTATGCAGAAAATTTATCAAACATTTGTAGCTTTAGCTGCACAACTTCAGTCTATTCATGAAAATGTAAAGGTAAGTTTTCAGTGCCAATTTATCTGTCCATATACCTAGATCCAAGTATTTATTCACTGGGAACACATGGCCATGCTTATTACAGAAATGGCTCAGGCTACATAAAATAACTATATACTAATATAATCATTGATGAAATCTGTTTACATTGATAAAAATCTTTCACCAGAGTCAATTATCCTCTTAACGTTTTTCAGCAATATATTGGAAATAATTATTTGTACACATATTTCCTCAAAATCATTTTTTGTAGTTATGTAGGTCATTGTATGTGCATTCTTTGTTTAACCCATTCTTGGTGATGGACATTTAGATTGTTCCATCTCTTTACCACTGTAAATAATACTATAGAAAGTAAACATTCTCAATAGAAAAATTATTTTACACTGACTTAATGTTATGTGTTTAAAAAAAATTTTTTTGCATTATTTCTCCTACTTACAGGGAACACTGTGTTTATTCAATAATATAAATAATTCATCAATGAATATCCCTCATGTAATGGTAATTTTTAAAACTTATTTAAGTGAAATATTAAATATGGGTGCACTTTTTCTCAGTAACCAATCCAAGTGTAATTAAATTCTTTAAGAGTCATACATAGTCCAAAAGTACCTTTAATATTCAAAGCATTGAAAGCTGAGTCTAAATAAATTGTGTACAAAAGTTTGAGATTACTAGTATTTTTATGCTTAATCTAATGCGTGGTAACAGAATGTTTTAAAAAGTTAATCCCTTAAACTATGTCATTTTTAAATGATAGCATCTTTAGACCCTTTCTCTTTAACATTTTAAACTAAATCAAAATTTTTACATGAAGAATTTTATCAAATTTTCTTGAAAATTTTATCAGTCTATAATGTTACTTTTAATCTTTTAAATTACTGAACATGATTCTATTTTGGCACTTTGAAGTCTCTGTTGTGCTGATTTTTTTAAGTACAGCCCAAATGTATACATGCATGTCTTTCTCCTCTCTAGTTTCAAAAACAAGCCTTTTTTGTAATGTGACTATAAACCAGTGAGAATGATATTTGCGTAAAATAGTCCACCTCATGTCGAATAAACTTAACATGAAAGTTTGAACTATTCTTCTTCTTTAATAATATATTTTTAATATATTACTAAGAACCAAAGACTGTTCTGTGAGCAGGCTTGGTATGTTAGCAGTTGTTTTTAGCTTAGTTTAGTGAGCTGGCTAACTATAAATTTGACTAGTTTATATCTTACGGAACTCTCCCAAGGCTTTTTTTTTTTCCTTCCTCTTTTTTATTAGATAATCTGTTGAAATCAAACGCAAACTGCTTTATCCAGCCAGGACTTAGAGGCATTAGCAAATTTGGAAGTTTTAGAAATTAGTTACATAACTCATGGCTGATGTCTGGTTTTTAAAAATTAATTGCCTTTTCAGGTCTCCAAAGCAATCATTATATTATTATCTGAAGTAGAAGTAAAATTTATGTGATACTAATGCCATACTTTGGGAATTACCTGGAATTGCACAAGAAAAGGAAGGCTGGATTTGGGGGAGAACAATAATAATGTCTGTTTTTCTTATATTACACGTTCCACTTCTGACTTCACATTTTGCCCAGTTGTTGGTTCTTAGCAGGTCCATTTTATAATCCATTATAAAGGTAGCAAAGTTTGGAACTGGAGTTTTAAGTACAGACTTCCACACAAAAGGATGATGATAATTTTTAAATACTATTAATAGCAATAAGATTTCAATATGTTGTAGCCTTTCAGTTATTTCTATTAAGAAAAGTAAGAAATGTGAAATTTCTGTCCAAAAAGTGGTAAATAACTATCTAAATTAGACTGTATCTTTAGTGATTTAATAATTCTCATGTAAATTAGAATTATTCCTATTAATGGTCTTAGTATTACTCTGGAGTTATGAACTGTAAGAACTTGAGTCAAGTTTGGATATATCAGCCATCATCATTGTATACTAGTCAAACAATATCGATAAAGTGGAAATCTTGGTTATACCTTCCAACATTTCTCTACTTGAGGTGTGACATCTTAGTATGTATCACTCAGGGCTTTTTAAAAAATGTACTTAAAAAGTACATATTTAGTGCTGGCTTTTAATAAAGGTTATGGAAAGGTTGGACATTTGAGGAAAAATTTTTATGAAAAATGATTAAAAATGTTTATTTTGAGTGGGTATACTGGGGATTGTACTTAGGAGTGCTTCACCATTAACTCGACACCACCTCCCACCCTGTTTTTAAATTGTGAGACAGGGTCTTGCTAAATGGCTGAGGATCTCACTAAATTGCTCAGGCTGCCCTTGAATTTGTAATCCTTCTGCCTGAGCCTCCCAGGTTAATAAGATTACAAGTGTGCACCACCATTCTAGGCATTAATATTAATTTAAATATTATTCTGCTTACCTAAAATGTAGTAGATTCATTTCGAAATAACAGTCTGATGAAGCCAGAATGTTTTATGTGGCCTATTGTAAAAAGATATGGCAGTGTACAACCAGAGATATGAAAAATTGTACTCTGTGTAATATGAATTGTAATGCATTCTGTTGTCATATAACAAAATTTTTAAAAAATAAAGTAAAACAGCCTTCTTGCATTAAAAAAAAAAAAAAGACATGGCAAAATGGGGAATAAAGTATTCAAAGGAAAAATAGAACCGAAATTCACCAATTCCCACATCAATGTGCATTACAGTTTAGGTGGAAATTATAGGCAGTTTCTTAGATCTTTAGTAACTTACTTTGTAGTTATAATCATTTACATATTATCATAGTCAACCTGGAACTTGATTATCCCCCCCTCCCCCGTTTCTTTAGGTACTCAAAGAACAGTACCTTGGCTACAGAAAAATGTTCTTGGGAGATGCTGTAGATGTATTTGAAGCCAGGCGAGCAGAAGCTAAGAAGTGGCAGAATGCACCCAGAGTTACTACTGGACCAACCCCTTTCAGCACCATGCCAAATGCAGCAGCCGTTGCCATGGCTGCAACACTTACGCAGCAGCAACAGCCTGCTACAGGTCTGAATGCATTCAAGTTATAGCTTCTTACTGTTCAAATGCTGAACATTTATGTGCATTTTTATAAGTCTTCCTTTTGTGTGAGCCCTGAAAAAATTTCTATGAACAACTGTTTCAGTACAGTCTAAAAATTGTGATCGACACAATTATAAACACACCTGACAAAAAATGCAGGGTAGTCTAGCAATAATTATACATCAGATATTGACTATTGTGAATTAACTCAATGTTATTTGCTGTATTGCTATAAATACCCTTTAGACTATGGTGTTTCACTACTGAATTACATTTAAGAATACCATTAAGTTCTAAAATCGTGATTGTATCATTTTTTGTTTCAAAGTCAGATATAATCCATCCATACGTTGCATTTTTCATGTATGATACTGATAGATGGTGCATTCTGACCTTTTTCATACATAATGATTGCAAAGTACCCACATTCAGGATGCAGTGTGATTTTATTGACTGAAGACGTGTTGAAGATCAGTAGATTTGCTTTATGTACTTTGACAAAAAACAGAATACAGGTCCTGTAAGCCAAATTTTGAAGACTATACATCCGAGAATTATTTGTTCCTTTTCAAAATAAGGGCTCATGGACATAAAAGAAAGTAGCAAGAACAGGAAGAGGACGTTTTGAGGTTTGGATTGCATGTTAAGTAGGAAGTCGGGAGTTGAGCAGATGAAAATAGTGAAATATTAGATCTTTTTAGTCCTTGGTTTAATTCCACTTCTAATCAGAGAAAAAATTTTGTGGTGTAGTTCTACAATGTTTCATTTTGTCCTTGGAAAGTAGGGAAACTTTCCTTATTCATTTTTGTCAGGCTTTAACTTAGGAAACTATACTCTTAATGGATATTGAATTTTTTTCTTTAATCATTAATTTTTGAGGCTTGTTTATTCTACAGCATGTGTCTTCTGAGAATTCCATATAATCTGGCAGTAAATTACAATACAAAAATAGTTTTAAAAATACATATTTAGGTTGCATTCAAGCTGCCTGTACCAGAGAAGCATTTTATGGTAACTTTTGGCAGTTTAACGAATTCTTCTTCACATTTGGAGAAAACAGATAATGACTAGATATCAGTAAAAAGTTGATGATGCATCTATGCCAAATCCTCCACATTCCATGGCTGGACACATGTGAATAGTGGCTCACATAGCACTATCTAGTAGCTCTCTAGCTGGCTGGAGTATAGGATTGTATTCTCTCAAGTTATGGAGAGGAAAAATCATAATGGGATTGATTGCTTTGAAGAATCAACCCCCAAATTACAACCATTAGTTCTTAATGATTATTTAACCAGCTAATCAAATCAACCATAGTACCAGTTTACTTTTTAGAGCCAGTATTTAATTCTAAAGAAGATCAGATAAGCATGGCTGTGGTTAAGTATTCATTAAATATAATTGATTTCCAATATAATAAAGCTTGAGAAAAGTCAGTTATCTAAAATTACTATATTCTATGGTAAATAAGTAAACTTGAAGCAAAATTACCTGTTTTGGTTTTTTTTTTTTTTTTACTTTTTTGAATGTAAACTAATTTAGAGGAATTGATAGGCTTTCACTCATACATTTTGGGTTCATGGACATAACATGTATGTTCATTCTATAAATATGAGTTCCTCCTATATGCTAGTTTTGGGGGACATAAAAGTAGATGTAGAAATACGATCTTTGCTGTCTGTGGTAGTAGAGAATAATAGCTTAATTTGGATTAATCATTCTGAGGAGCTTTTTGCTTTTATACTTAAATTTTATCTGTGAGTTTTCCCAAGTTGGTAAGTTTTTTTGTTTTTTCTTTTGCCAGGGGAAATCTTAAGACTTTAGTGTTCTTGCAATTTTAGAGCCTTTAGGAGCTTTCTGATAACGTGGCAGCAATCAGAATGTTTTAGCCTTAACAGTCTTACAGTATTATTACTTTTGAGTTGTTTGAATTTCTAGAACTGAAAATTTACAGAAGTGACAATAATCTTGTATTATGTCTTTCCCTTTTGTTTCTCTAAAGGTCTCCCAGGCTCTGTAGTTCATTCCTTTATACCTTCCCATTCAGAATGCCAGTGGGTTTAGTCACCAGTCATGTCATCCTGATTATGACATAAGCTCTGTTGGTTAAATAACAGTTTTATGAGTTACAGCCCACTTAGTAATGTCCCTGTTTATTGCATTTATATTTTGTGTCCAAGGAGTTATTCCTTGTGCCTTGATACTTTCATGAAATCTTTTAAGTGCCAATAACAAATTCTAGACCATCTAGATGAAGTGAGATAGAAGTTGTGCACTGTTTTTATACATCACTGTTGATTAAGGTTTGAGTTATCAGAAGATTTGGTTTTATTTGCATATAGATTCTTGATTTCATTAGAAAGATGGCACAGAACAGATAGCTTTTCTTAAACTACTGGTTTCTGAATGTTTCTGTTGTCTTAGAGTCAGGGGTTGGACTTAAAGTGACTTATTGATTCTTCAGCTTTTTTTTTTTTTTTTTTTAATGTTGTTGGGGATTATATTCAGGTTCTCATTCATATTAAACACACACTTTACCACTGAGCTACACTCCCAGAGTCCAATTTTTTTTTTTTTTTTTTAATGAAACAATATACAATAGGACTTAGGCATGTGTGATTTATGGTGGTTTGTTCTGAAGCCTGAAGAAAATTGCTGAAAAACCAGCAGGCTATTTAAGTACGAAATGAGTATCCGTACATGGATAAGTTACATGTTGGCAGATCTTTAGTATACTTGTTCACAAATGCCTCAAGCCTCCTACAAAGACATTTACATTAGGCTGTTCAGTATAATTTTAATTTAGGATGGATTTTTAAAGCATTGTACTAGGATTGGATTTTGCCATTGTGTTTTGACCAACGTTCTTGATGCTTACCTCATGATTTTTCTCATGTGACTTAACTGCTGTTTTTAAGGAGAGCTGAGACATTTATTAGAAATTCCTACTTTCTAGCTTTTAGTGACAGTCTGGATATTTAAGGTATAGTGTTAAATAGGGAACTTTAAGTATTTTAGCCTAGTTTCTTGTGGTTTTGTGATTTTGTTGTATTTAATAACCAAAGGAATGTTCCCCATCAAATAAGTAAGTGAAGTTTTCAAACTGGGGAAAAGGCATTTTTGGTTTTTTTAAGAAAAATTATTATTTAAAAAAATGACTTAGGAATTAACTATACTAACTACGTTAGGTATTTTTAGTGACCATAGAAAATTATAAAAACAAAAACAAAAACAAAAAAAAACGTTTTAGCACTTTAGTCCTTTTCCTGTGAATGCAGTTTTACTTTTAAGAAAGAAAGTAGAATTTATTCTGGAAAATATGAATGACAGTGCTAAATCTCATTTTGTTGTGTGTGAATATATCTTATGGTAACTTTTGTAAAATGTTACTCTACATAAAGATTTCACTTTGGGCAGTCATTGGTATATATTACTATTAACTTGGTTTTATTTATGGAACTAAGAGCCTCTCATTAAATGATTATTCAGATTTTAAAGCAGACTTGAATTGTTTACATAACTTTTGCCTGAAAGATTTTGATTCTGCTTTCTAATAGTGAAACTAATATATATGGTGGCCAGAGTGTAATATATGCTAATACTTTGGCATGGGAGATATTTATGATGAGTTTTTACTATTAAAAAATGTTATACATTTGCCTACTAGTTTTATAAATGATGTTGCCTTCAAAATTTGTATGAAGGTCCAAAACTCAAACTATCATGTATCTGTTGTGCAATGGAAAGTCTTGTCATTGTTAGCTATATGAGTTCTTCATATCCTGAATATTGATGATTAGAGAAACTATGTTCTGTTGCTCTTAAAAACAGACCCACACACAACAACAACAACATGCTATTTGAGTAACTCTTATGACTTATAAGGCTGAGGACTGTGGTGTGCATTGTTCTTTAGGGTCTTCCACCAGCAGTGCCTCCTTTTAACATGTGACACTTAAGTCTCTCTATGTTAAAGAAACTGGACATATGTTTTCTACATATTATTTTTGTTAGGAATAAAAAAAGGTAATATGCTTATTTTCTTTTTTCTATAGTAACATTTTACAAAAGAGCTGCTAGGCAGGTATTATATTCTCAAATTGATCTCAAACTGGATGTAAAAGCTTAAATCCTTTTTTATTTATTTTTTTAATAGTAGTATAAGAACTCTGGCCGCTATTAGTTATTAATCTTTATTTTCTGGATAGAAGCTATTTGAAAAGTCCAGTTTCTGTCCCAGTGTGTAGCAAAATGTAGTTCCTCATTTTTTTGTTTTGTTTTTTAATACTTTATAGTTTTACACTACCTTTTGAATATACAAACCTCATTCATCATTGAACAACTTGAAGGCTTTGATTTCTTTAAAAATTTAAATTTTAAGATGTATTACTTTGGCATTCCCTCAACTTTTGAGATGCACTGATCACTGTGCTTGAAAAAGACAAGACTGAAGATTGTACTATGAAATCTATTGAGTAATTTTCATAAATTATTTATCAAATGAGATTTTTAGATTTTTGTATTCTGCTTAGCTTAAAAAAAAATAGTTAAAAAGAGAGGCTAGTAAGTTTGATGCTATTTTTGCCAGACAAACTCAGCCGAAATCTTTAAAGTAACAGATGGGAAAAGGATGACTAATCATTCTGTATCTGAGTACATTTCCAAAAATGTTGGAAAGAAGCTTCTGAATTGAAATCTTGAATGTACTGAATTTGTCAAGGTACACAGCGGTGCCTTTGTAAATGTTCATTATCTTATTTAATCAGATGATAAGTGGTGTAATGTAGCTGAGCTGAAGAATAGAACTCAATTATCACTTTTTGTGAACAAGTTGGAATTGTCATGTTACTGTGTAATTGGTTTGCTTTAAAATGAACAATAAATTTAATAAAATAAATCATTGTCTTGTTTTTTATCTACTTATTGTATATATCATTTATATCATAACAAATCATGCCTAGTTTTTTGGGTACTTTTATGAAGTAACATGATAGTTTTGCCATGTTAGTGTCAGTCTCTTTTGATCAATTGAGACTTGACTCTAACACTAAGGAACTTGTTTGGAAAAAAAAAAAGAATAAAAGCCTTTACTGATTACACCAGTTTTATCAGAGAACAAGTGGGGAGATCTAAAACAATTCTATAAGTAAATCTAAACTATAATTTATGATATATTAAAAACAAATTATTTCATCTATTAAACTAATATTTTTCATTTTGGTTAGCCTTTTAATAGTTATAGTTCCGAGCAGGTTAATTAAAAAGATTTTTTTTTTGATAGATAAATCACTTTGGACAGATAAGTTAGGTCAGAAAGACATCTTGAAAACAAAGTTTTAACAAATGGAATTGTTAAAAGTAATCACTGTTCAGTTTTAAAATAATTTCATAAAGGAACTTTAATCTTGAAAGAGTAAGGCAAATTTGTTTTTCCCCCCCATTTTTTTTTTATACCAGGGCCACAGCCATCTCTGGGAGTTAGTTTTGGAACGCCATTCGGCTCAGGTATTGGCACTGGCTTGCAATCAAGTGGCTTAGGTTCTTCAAACCTTGGAGGTACACTTTAACTTTTCTAATATTTCATTGAAGTATTATACATTTGAATTTATACTAGCCTGTAAAATAGTTTCTAAGAAGATCCTCTGCTGTTTTGGAAGTTAAGTTTCCATCTGGCAAAAATGATTCTCCAAACATAATCATTGCTTTCTAGTATTAGATTTAGAACTTAAAAAATCATTCCATCTTCTGTGATTAGTAAATATTAAAAAGTATTAAAATTAAGTGGTAGGGATGTTTATATTTTCAAATCACTATGCTGATATGAACTTGACTTACTTAGTTTTAATTTTAAAATTTAAAAATTTGTCTTAATTTTTGGAATCCAATCAACTTCTAGATGTCATAACAGTCTCTAATCATTATCTTTTTTTCTGGAGCACTTTAAAAATGGGGAATTAATTTTATTATAAATTAAACAGCTTGACTTCTTCCATTTCTAAACAGTTTTGGCATACTTGTATACATACGCAGGTGAACTTATGGTAGTTTCATAAGTTAATTAGGTAAGTTCTCTGCAAAAGCATCATGCTGAATACAGATACATTCACAGTTCTTTGGATAATTGAAAGTTGATTGTATTTTGACAAAAGCATTGTAATGTAATGAATAAGCTTCCCTTATTTCCACTAAAATAGAACAGAGAAGACTTATAAATTATTTATTATTATTTAATATAGACTTTTCTATATTAGGAATTACTAGAATCATGATAGGCATCATAATTTATATGATTTATAATCCAGTTCGCTATTCTATTTCTTAAGATTCATAGGTAGTGATAACTGTCAGTCTCAGTAGTTTAGATAAGATATAGCGTAGCCTTAAAAGAATTTGAATTTTATTTACATAGAGCATCTGGGAAACTGTTCTTCAAATACATAGAATCTCTTCATGAACTTTGTGATAAGTTATTTTAAGTTTTGAAAACTATTAAGAGGAAAAATATGCTGCTCTCTCTTCCAGTTTCTCACTGTTAACATTGACAATAGATGGCACAAATCTGTTATGGAGTAGATTTAAAGTGATAGACTGTTATGTAGTTAGTTTTTCAATGTAAAGATTTTTTAATTAACCAAAAATGTTTGGTAAAGGGCTGAGTAAAATTATCTTGTGGTATACATTATTATGTATGTCATGAATATTTGTGAATTTAGTCAGTCCCCCCCCCCAAAAAGAAGTAACCCTCAAGTAGATATGTTCATAACTGTTTAAAAAATCATATTTGAATGATCGATAAAAATTTCTAGAACATTTAGAAGAAAAAATAATCTGTTTCTTAATAAAGCCATGTTTTTCAACGGTGTTTTTGATAGACCTTTGATAATTTTTGGTTTTATTGTGTGTAACCTTTAACCTGTGTTTTATGTACCATTGTATATTTCTCTATTACCCTTCCATTAGGATTTGGAACTAGCTCTGGTTTTGGATGCAGCACCACAGGGGCCTCCACATTTGGATTTGGAGCAACAAATAAACCCTCAGGAAGTCTTAGTGCAGGTTTGTGTGTTTCTACCTGAATTCCAGGTGAATTTAAAGGTGGAAATTATTTAACTTAAAAGTATAAGTGTTGTTATTTCCAGTAATCCAAAAAGATCCCTGATTCTTTTTTTTTTACTCCCTGGATGAAGCATGCAAGCCTGACTAATTATGTAGCTGTCTTTTTTATGAACTAAAGGACAGGTATATGAAATATTTCTGACAAATCTTCATAGTTTGATTTGTATATAAATGTATCTTCTTTACCTAAATATAGTTTCATGGTTAAGCAGTTTTCTTCATTATTGCAGAAATGAACCTATCAGTGTGAAAGTTTAACTTGGTTTTTGTTTTGTTTTTAATCATTGTTCATCCGGGAAAGCCATTTAGAATAAGAGTTGTTCTTTAGAATAAGAGTTTTTCTTTAAATCCCTCCAATTTTAAGAATGCCACAGTCTTACAAAAAGGATTAATTTTATTCTTTGTTTCTAAAATAGATAAAATCTTTTGACTTTTCCAGTGGAAAATTCCAGATTTCATCTATTTTACATTTACTCTTTATTTAAAAATAATGGCTTGTTTGAATGTGCAGTACTTGGGGATAAATATGTCCAAAATAATGACGTAACACTGTTAAACACGTGTTTAATTTCAGGGAATTTGAAGGAAGTTCTGCTTATGTTAAGTAGTGTTTAAAATTAGTAGTTCCAGTTGTGTTAAGATGTATACTTCAGTGGTATTAAAACTGTAATCTAAATATTGTTTTAGTTAACTAGTTAGTAATAGTACTTGATCTCAATTATACAGGGTCTTGTCTAAAATGAAAACAATAAGTATTGCTCTTTGATGTGTCCTCTGTCTTGAACATTGTGAGTTGAGGCTTTCTTGGAGAGTTTGGGATTGCAGATGTTGCTCTACTTGATGACAAAGTGGTTTTGGTGGGGCCGAGGAGGAAGACGCCTTGACTTATTTAATTAGTGGAAAAGTTTTTTGGCAGCTTGAAGTATTCTATAGATTTCAGTCATTCGTGCTAATGTTTCACCTTGGGCCTGTATCACTAAACCTCTGGCTTTCAAGATGCCACTTAGTTGTTAGCTAAGTTATTTTCCTGTGAAATTCCATGTTAGAAATTCAGGGGCCTAAGATATTTGCTGTTCTTACAAATTATGTATTCTTTCAGATAGAAGTTTACTGCTCATCCCCAGTTTCTATATTTGTGTTTTATGATTTGACTTCTGATATGAATATTTTCTTCCCTAAACATAAGGCTTTGGCAGCTCAAGTACATCTGGGTTTAACTTCAGCAATCCTGGCATCACGGCATCAGCTGGTTTGACATTTGGGGTGTCCAATCCTGCCTCTGCAGGTTTTGGAACAGGAGGACAGCTCCTTCAATTGAAGAAACCTCCAGCTGGAAACAAAAGAGGAAAAAGATAAACATATGGGTTGATGTATTAAGAGAATCCTCAGCAGCACCGTTCATTCTGAATCTATTTTTCTAATGATGCATTAATTAAATTGCATCCCAGGAGATTTATAAAGTTTTGATATTTTTCCCTACTCTGGAATTTGAACTTTGTTTGCCATACTGAACATCTCTTTCTTGTGAATTTGAACTCCAGTTGTGGTGGGTTTTGTTTTGTTTTTTTGTCCCCCCTCCCCATTATTTTTGGTTCTCCGTGTAAGAAATGTTGTGATTACATCACTAATAGTAGTTTTAAAAAATTAACCTAACGCCTATTATTTAACCTAGTATTAATAGCAATGTTTTTGTTGATAAGGTTTACATTATGTGAATATATGCACATTGGTTTCTTATACCGGTGGTATGAATTCTAGGGCCTATAATAGAAGTAGTTTGTTAAAGGCCTTTTGAACTACACTGCAGGGCATCTTGTGAATATGTATGTAAATATACAGAATAAAACACACAATTGTGTGTGCATATGAAATATATATTTACAGATCTACAACTTTTGCCTCAGACTGTTCCCCTTTTTTAAGGGTATTCAATTTTTCACCTAAAAGCTTCAAATCCTCACTGCTTATAGAATGATGAGCTACAGGTACCCTGTCATTTCATTTGTTTGCTTAAAGATTTATTAAGTGGTTACTGATATAGTTTGACCAACTCAATTTCATTGTCCCAGTCTTATCCATTTTGTTTCCTCTTATCCTTTAGCAGCTACTCTGAATGAGGAATGCTGTAAGACTCATCAAACAAAATTTAACAATTTTTATTATCCTATAATAGTCTCATATTGCTTCTATGAGATCTTTTTTCATATAAGATGGACCTTCAGGAGCATATTTGAACTCCAGACTAGTGTTCTGGGGGCAAAGAGCTATTAAGCCAAATTGACTCTATGCAGGTGAAGGATGCACTATTATTTTAATGAGAACTTTTCTAGCTATTCCAATACAGAGTTCTTTCTTATAGGGCTAATGATATTGACACCAAATGGAGTGGCTTTGTAGCCTCTTAATGTCTTAAGTAAGTGCTTAACTTGGAATAGAGAAACAATATATTTTAAGAAAGAAAAATATTCTTTATAGCAACTATAAACAATCCCCAGTTTTAACAGTGAACACAGCTCCAGGTAATAATGCATAGGCATGTTAAGTTGCATCTGTGTAATACTGTCTATATTAGTATTAGTGGTGTCAAGTAGATAAAAAGAGAACATTGGAAAGAGAACTGCCTTAGCCATGATTTCAGAGAGAAAACATTAGGTAGACCTATTTATCTTTCAAGTACAGTTTTCAGATGGGCTGTAAACATGGAATTTCATTGAAAATAGTTTAATTTTTTATATAGAAGTTTTTGTACATAAATGTGCATCAGTGAATATTTTCAGAATCATTTTCACCAACGCACCTTTTTTCTAAAATAGTATTGCATATATAAATATATATATATATACACACACACACACATATATATTTTAGTATAATGTTGGGTTTGATTATAAAACTGTTGTCAAATCTGTTTTATTTATCTGCATATAGCAATGATTAGCTTTTTTGAATTGGTCTTTTGTTTTTCTGTGTCTTGCATTAAAATTAGGAAAATTATTTTGTCTCTGAGCACTAAACATGTTTTTATTCTTGCATATTTCTCTATTATTGCAATCCCCAGATCCAGATCATGGGGGAGCTTAGGAAAAAAAGGTGTGATTTTGTTTTGAATTACTGTCAGAGTTACATACAGTTCTCTGTAACTTTTTTTTTTTTAAGGACCTTGCATTGTGCTGCAAAAATCTGAATATTTATATTTCTTGGTTTTTTTCCTCATACATTTTACATTTTAATATGTGGAACCACTGGAAATTTGTAACAGATTAATTTGTGATGGCAGTTTTAAGTGTGTTGTCATTGTCTCCATTGTCTTCACTTTGTCTAGAGCCTATTATGGAAACAATAAAATTTATTGTGTCGGTTGCTTTGAATCTTTATAGGTGTCAATAATTGTTCTTACTATGTAATTTTATTATTTCTTTTTTAAGTAGTTTTTAGTATGTTTCTTATCATACACATCTCTCTTTAACAGGTCTAAACACAAGATAGTAAGTTCTTTTCACTTACTTTTGTCTTCTCAAAATTACAAAAACATTAACATTTTAGTTACATCGAAGAATATTGAGTAAGCAGCAAGGACTCCTTCCTAGTCCTTCCCCAGAATGTCAACTCTAAAGGTTTGGTGTATATCCTTGCAAATCCTTCTAAAAAAAATGCCCTTTTCAACATATATGTATAAACACTCTTTTCTCCTTTCTCCCCTTTTTAAAAGATTTTTTTTTCTTATATTGTATCATTTTTTTTCAGATCCTCCTTTAATCAGTGGATTTAAAAAACCTATACATAGTCTGTGACTTGCTTGTTTCCCCTTAGTGGTGTATGATGAATATCTTTCCATGTCACCCATGTAGATTTATGTTTTACATACTATCCCACAGTGGATGTCCAATGATCTCTTCAGCTATTCCCTGTTATGGACAGTTAGGTTCTTTCCACTTTCACAGAAGTTGAAGTGAGTGTACTTGTTTGTGGCTTTTTGTGCTCATGTTAATGTTTCTTTGGGATGATTCTGAAAGAGGAATTGCTGAAAGAGCATATAAATTGTATGCTTTCATGTCAGACTGCCTTCCAAAGGTACTATATAAATATACACTGCTACCATTATGTATCCTAGCATTTGCAGTATTCCAAGTTCTCAATCCTATTAATATTTTCTAATCTAATAATCCTAATAAATACTTGTGAGGTTGAACTTTTAAATGTGTGTATATACATGTACATAAGCTAATTGCATGTTAATATAATTGCATGTTATAGCCTTTGTCTAGGTTATTTAGGGATTTTTGTTTCTTAGTTATTTGTAGGAGTACTGTTAATGGATATTGTTATTTTTCCTGTGAGATATCTGCAGTCAGCTGGGTTCAGAACCCTCCCTTGTCCCCACATGATACTGGGCAAGTTAACTTTTTTAGTCAAACTTTAATATACCATTTTGTCAAGTTTGATTTTTCTTTAAAAATAATTTTGTGTAAATTCAATAAACATTTATTGAATTTACACAAAATTATTATTATGATGATCTGGGGGAGAATTGACATTTTAGTATAACATAATATATGCACTAATGAAGCTTTTTATTCTTTCTTTTTTTTTTTTTTTTTTTTTTTTAATATTCCTTCAGTAAGATTTTGCAGTTTTTCTAGATCCTTGGTTGGTTGTTTTCCCTGACACCTTGATTTCATTCGAGGTGGGTTTTTATCCTGCAGGAGGTACAACAAGTTATTTGAATTATAAGACCCTCTACCTCAGATTTTCTTGAACGCTTGCCTTGTATAGAGAGGGTCTTGTTACCTAATAATTAGCCTGTTTTGGTATACTTCAGAAAGTGCAGTGCAGCTCAGCTTAATGTCCTCCTAGTCTCAAGTGGTGTATTTTTTATTTTTTCAAGAAGTGAATTTAAATAGTAACTTTAGAAATATTATGTTGGGATATTTGTTTTGTGA